TGTTTTTCTCGTTGCCATGTTCCCACCAATAACGTAGCTCCATTTTCTGCCTTTAAAAGCACACACAACCCACAATTCCTCTATTCGCTCCGACGAAGGGCTAACGCTCGAAACGTCAGCTTTTGTAATCATTACGGTGGCCAATTTACCATTTCAACTTTGTTGATATATCCTAATAATTTAATATTCTGATAGTGGGAAACTCTATCACCGTCTATGTCAATATTGATATTGGCATCTTTTTGCTTGCTAATGAGCATGCTACCATATTTAGTAAACTTTCCCAGTAAACAGTTCTCTTTATACCAACTTGTTGCTGCAACTGTACTCTCCTTCCTGTAATCTTGTTCGGATTAACTGGACATCTTTACTTGCTTCGAAAAACTGGTGATCATCCGCATACATGGAGATATTCGACTTCATTACATAAGTCAGATCATTCTGATAAAGATTCCACATCAAAGGCCCAAGAGAAGAGCCTTGAGGGCACCCTCTTATCACCTTCCTCCATCTGCTTGTTGTGTTCCCTAGCTTCACTCTTGCTTGGCGATTTTCAAAATATGATGCCATGAGTTTGTTGCTGACATCATCAAAACTGTATGCTCTTAGTTTAGCCAGCATAAGTGCTGGGAACAGACAATCAAACGCCTTACTCATATCTGTTGACAACACACTCCCCACTGTCCAATGAGTGCCTCCAGCTCTCAGTCAGGTATAACAAGGCAGTCTCGCAACTGTTCCTCTTTCTAAATGCAGTCAAATGGTCAGACAGGCGATTTTTATAGTTACCAGTGATTTGGGAAGAAAGGAGTTGCTCAAAGATTTTATTAATAACAATTTGCACAGTCACAGTACGATAGTTTTCTTTTTGCAGTTGATCATCTTTCTTGTGAACTGGGGTCCATTCTCCGGCCTTCTTCCAGTCAGTTGGCCAATGCCCCTGCTTAATGTAGATGTTAAACAGATTGGCAAGTGGTACAGCCAATTCACTAGCCCCATAGATAAGTGCCCTCGGGAGGATTAGGTCCCAGCCCATAGCCTTGTCTAGCTTCAGCTTTTTAAGCCTGTCCTCTACCTCACAAGGTTTAACGCTTTGGAAGGAGAAGAACTGACTATTATAGTGGTTAGCCGCCCTTATGGCCATCACACTGCTGTGATTGTCAAAATCACCCAGAGAGCACTTATTTATATCCAATGGGCCAATACCATCAGCAATTGTTGCAAAATACTCCCAAAAAGCCTCGGAGATGTCAACCTTATCCTTGTCCTCCTGTATCGCCTAGCAGGCCTGCGTCTTGCCCGTATTGCCTCCTTCCACTCTGAGTTCATAATTGGTACATCCTGATCTCTAACACGCATTTGTTTAAATGGCATATGGTCATTGACAATCTCCGTCAGTAGTGTACTTACAAAACCAACACGATCCTCCACACTATCGAAAACTTCCCCAACATGCCAAGGTGCTGAATTAAGGTGTTCTTGAAATTTCTCCTCTTCAAAGTTCTTAACTGGACGGAATTTGATAATTCTAGGCTTGACTTTAGCTGCTGTGTCTTGCATGAAGCCATACACTAGTGGGTGGTCACTAAGACCCGGTTCGTAAATCCCACTCTGGACAAATAAATGAGCTTCATTAGTCAAGATAACGTCAATGAGGGTCTTGGTAGTCTTACCAGCCCTAGTTTGAATCCTAGTTGGCTCCGTAATTACACACTCAAGTCCATGGGTCTCCTCTGT